GTCTCCAAGGCTGTCAATCTTCACAGAAGCAAAGCCCAAACCACACTCACTGCTGTGGAGTCCATTCTGACCCACAGCGCCCCTAGAGGACAGAGTGGAACTGCACCACAGGGTCTCCAAGGCTGTGATCTTTACTGAGGCCAACTGCCACATCTTTCTCCTGCCGAGTGACTGGCAGTGCTCCTTCGCACACATATACATGCCTGTAGATATCGACATACATACATACATGCATAATATGGACAAATAACCTCATGAAGTTCTCCCAGCAGTCCTCTGAGGAAGCAGGCAGGATCCTCTCCCAGGTGAGAAAACTGAGGCTCAAAGAGGTCAAGCCATTTGGGTGGGGTACCGAGGAAAAGCGCATAAAAAAGTGGTTAAAAATATGCCTACTTTCGAGTCAGGCCAGACCTTGATAGGTGACTTCCCTGAGCCTCACTTTTCCCATCTGAAAAATGGAGTTCTGACCGCATCAACCTCCTCCACTCGCCTGGAGGAGGAGAGGTCGGCAGCCAGAGCCTGGCACCCAGTAAGCGTTGTGGGAACGTTGGCGAGGGTGTTAGAGTGTATTCATTTCCCAGGGTCGCTGTAACAAAGCAGCACAGGCTGGATGGCTTAAAACAGCAGACGTTTATCGCCTCACGATTCTGCAGGGTAGAAGCCTGAAACCAGGGTGTCGGCCATGTTGATTCCTTCTGAAAGCTCTGAGGGAGAATCGGGTGCAGGCCTCTCTTAGCTTCCAGTGGCTGCCAGTCTGGACGCTCCTTGGCTTGTGGCTACATGGCTCTGATCTCTGCTCTATCTTCCCTCTGTGTCTCTACTCCTTTTTGATAAGGACACCAATCTTAATCAAGTAGGACCCACCCTACTGCAATGTGACCTCATGTTAACTGATCATGTCTTCAAAGACCTGATTCCCAAACAAGGTCATGGTCCCAGGTACACAGGTTCTCAAGTTAGGACACCTACATACCTGTATTATTATTTTTTTTTTTGCAGGAGGACAGAATTCAATCTATAACAGCGAATAAGTGTTGAAGCAGAGACTTGAAGTTGTAGCTCTCTAAGCCATGGGTTTTCCATTATTCTAGGCTGTCTCAGTTTCTTGGTCAATAAAATGGGTGCACCCTCTCTTCTCAAATGAAAACAAAACAAAATAGGCCTCTGATAGTGTATATAGGCCATGAGGGGAATAATTTCTTGTTATCCCATTCCCCCCGACCCCAACCCCCAGCTCTGGGAGAAAGGAGATGGAAGGGGAAAGTGACCTAAAGAAAGGTTTTGCCTCCTGAGGTAACAGGAATTCCACTCCGGTGCAGTGGAGAAGGTGGCGCTGGAGGAGTTCTTGGCCCACGTGGACTTCTGCACTTTGTTCCACTACCACCAAATCCTGAACCGGCTGCAGGTGAGGCTGGCAGTGGGCTGGGAGTGAGGAGGGGGCCCCCCGGCCCTGTCACGCTTGTTCGCTTGTCTGTTTATTCAGCAACTGCTGTATTCACTGGGTGCTTCCTTGGGGCCCGGCCCCGTCCTGAGTGTCCTCAGAAGTGAACAGGGCAGTTGAAGCCATGCTGACCTCCCAGTTGGGGCCACCAAACCCACCACCACTGAGTCGATTCCAACTCTTAGTCACCCTGCAGGACAGAGTAGAACTGCCCTGTAGTGTTCCCAAAGCTGTGAATCTTTATGGAAGCAGACAGCCTCATCTTTCTCCCACAGAGCAGCTGGTGGGTTCGAACCGATGACCTTTCCGTTAGCAGCCAAGCATTTAACCACTGTGCCACCAGGGCTCCTTAAGGAAGCAGCTAGATGGTACTAATGGGACCATCAGGGGAATTGGTGTAGACAGAGAAGCAGCGAGGGCCCAGCACTGAGCATTCAGAGGAAGAGGAACTGGAACCGATGGCAGAGATGCAGGCGGAACTCCAGGGACAGGGGTGTCTCGGTCCTGAAGCCCCACCATCCTCCTCCTGCTCCTCTCAGCATCCTGCCTGTGCCAGGGGTTCTCAAGATCACCCTGAGGTTCAGTGATTCACGGGAAGGGCCCACAGAACTCACAAGCACCATTATATTCATGGTTAGAGTTTATTGCAGTGAAAGCATGTGTTAAAATCAGCAAAGGGAATTGGCGCCTGGGGCGGGGCCCAGGAGAGACCATGCTTCCACTTGTCCTCTTCTGTGGAGTCCTGTGTGTCTGGCACTGAATTCTCGCAGCAACAGTGTGTGATAACACCCGTGGGGTGTTGCCAACCAGGGAAGCTCACCCCAGCCTAGTGGTCCAGGGTTTTCATTGTGGGTGGGTGTTGCAGGCATGAAGCTCTGAGTTAACTAGCATTGCTTAGTTAACAAGCCACAAGGGGGTGACTTTATGGGACAGAAACAAATTTTCTTACAATTTAAGAGGCTAGAAGCCTGAATTCAGGGCACTAATTCTAGGGGCTTGTGCTCTCTCTCCGTTGGATTGTGGGGAAGGCCCTTGTCTCTTTTCAGCTTCTATGCCTTGGGAGATCTGATAGCGTAGTATCTAAGGCACTTGACTGGTAATTAGGAGGCTGGTGGTTCAAACCCACCAGCCACTCCTCAGAAGGAAGAAGGGGCAATCTACTTCCGTAGTGATGTTGTTGTTGTTGTTGTTAAGTGCCGTCGAGTCGTTTCCGACTCATAGCGACCCCGTGCACAGCAGAACGAAACACTGCCCGATCCCGCGCCAGCCCCATAATCCCTGCTATATTTGAGCCCATCATCGCAGCCACCATGT